TCCTATGTTATGGATGAATCTTCTAACATCTTGATCCCAGCCGAATGTAGTTAGGATTTCAAAATCCAAACATAGCATGGGATGCCAGGAGAATTGTTGGATATTTGCCAATCTTTGTTGATGTGGTTCTGCCAGCAGTGTGTTCGTGATAGGAGTTCCTCTAGCGGAGGTTCTGGTGCGTTTTTTCCTAGATGAAGCCTCTCCATGTTCCATTATATGCCTTACTCACTTAAGGATGATAGGAGTGTGTAGAAAGGGAGGAGAAGCAAGATAGAATGCTTGGAATGGGGTACCAAGGCAAGGATCCGCGCCTAGCATATATAGGAGGAGCCAGGAGTGGTGGGACGGCCGTCTGGGTTTGGACGACCGTCTCACTTAAAATTTTTCCTTTGGGATAGCCATCTGGGGAGTGGGACGACCGTCCCATTCAAAATTTTGGCACTGAGATGGGCGTCTCAAACTTGGGACGGGCGTCCCACTTGAAATTGGTTGTTTGGGACGACCGTCTCGCCTTTGGGACGGCTGTCTCAAGTTTTTCAAGTTGGTTTTCATGTTTTTTGTTGAGAAGGAGGATAGGACTCCATTCATTGATGTTTTAAAGCATGTAATGTTTCATGATATGCATCCTATGATCTATTTCAGTTAATATTTTGAAAGTTTTAACTGATGTGCTTTGACTTCGGGTGCATTCTTGGTGCTGTACCTTTTTGTCATCATGTTTTCTGATTAACAAGCTTGGTTGTACCTGATTTTCCGTCTCGGAATTTTCTTGTTATAGCCGAAGAGCAATCTTTTGTTCATAGGGCAATTGCCATATCAATGCCCCCCTTCCTTTCCTTAGGGATTTCAACCTTCCTATTGATCACTATATTTCCACATTCCCCTTTATTGAAAGTGATGAAGATCTTAGTGAAATATCTTGGCAAAGATCTCATTGATTTGATAAAGTCAAAGATGAAGTCAAAAGTCAACGTTGCAGCGGTTAACAAGTCACTTAGATAAAAGAGTAGAAGATTTAGTGTGTCTACAGAAGGCTTAAGTAAAACCATTTTATCCTTTTTGCTGCATGAAGTTTCTTCACCTAAATGATTTTGCAAAATGCCTCCAAAATCTTTTTTAAACAATTAAAAACAAAACATTTTGACAAAAGCTTTCTTAAAAATGTTTTTAACTGATAAAGTTTTAAAAGAACCGATTAAAATCACTTAGAATGTTCAAAAAAGTGTTTTTACAGTATTTTAATCAATACAACTTGCTTTTAATCGATTAAAACCATTTAAAACCCATTATGACCGATCAGAATACAAATATGACCGGTCAAAATCAGATTTGATCGATTAGATTTGAATTGTGAGCGATCAAAATTTTTTCAATTGATTAAAACACGTTTCAATTGATTAAAATCACTTAAAGGGTCAGAATGATCGATCAGAATGCAATTATGACCGATCATAATCAGTTATGATCGATCAGAATTGAATTATGACCGATCAGATCTGTTTTAATCGATTAAAACGCGTTTCAACCGATTAAAACAACTTGGAAAAATTTTGTACAGAGTTTTAATCGATTAAAACCTCTTTTTATCAGTTAAAATAACTTGAAAAGTTTTATAAGAAAGTTTTGCAGTATATCAATCGATTAAAACACGAAACAATCGATTGAATAAAACTTAGAAAATTTTTGTAAAATGTTTTAACTGATATAAACGTTGTCGTATCAGCTAAAACAAATCTGTTAAAGAATCAAGAACATATTAATGGATTGAAAGGACTTTTAACAGATTGAAACGACTATTTCAGCGAGAGGCGTGTTCTGTTTGGGTTTCGCCCTTGTTTTGACCCTGGTGCACGACCTCCATCAGTTGAGCCATTTGCTCGCGGAGGGTATTGACCTCTGCAGTGAGCTTTCGATTTTGTTCCTCTAGGTTTTCCATTGCTCTGGCCTTTTGTGCACGAGTTCGGGTGGGGAGAGGACCAACCACTTTCTAGAATGCCCGAAAGAAATTTATTAATGCATGTTGAGTGTTTAACTATCATGGATATGCATGAGAGATTCTGTTTTAAAATGATGCTAGATGCGCTCTAACTTTTTATTTTCTCTCTTGGTATTTCCTTACTCATGATATGATGTAATATGGATGATACGACTTTTTCAGAGATTTTATAAATGTTTTGATTTTGTTATTATTATTTTACTTATCTTGGATTTTTTGTTTTTATTTTATAGCCTTTTATCTCTTCTGTCAGACTACGTGGCTACTTAGCTTACAAAGAACCTGGAACCAGGCTAGCTAAAAGGCAAACTGTCCGAGATAAAAAAATGGCTTTATGCGAAAGAACCGTTAACGTCCCTTATCTCTTTTGTCGGACTGCGTGGCTACTTAGCTTACAAAGAACCTAAAACCAGGCTAGCTAAAAGACAGACTGTTCGAGATAAGGGTGTTTATTGCAAAAGAATGTTTTTTGTGATTTTTCCGTTGTTTGGTTATGCTATGCAA